AAGGATTGGATTGGAATAGATATATATATATATATATATATAAGGGGATTCTGATACAGATGTTAAAATAGAGTTATAGTTCTCTGGAACTAGGTCCTTTATGTCGGGAGTAATTTTTATTCCCAAATAGGTAAAGCCACAAGGTGAATTTTGAAATGTATTCGCCACTGGAGGGCAGACTCTTTCATTCTTCCCAAGAAACAGTATCTTAGACTTTGTATTATTCACTTTGTAACCAGAAAAACTCCCAAACATTCCAATAATTTACTAAGTGTTAGTAAGGACTGTGCCAGATTTTTAAAGAAAAGTACAATATCATCCGCATAAAGGCCAATACGGTGTTCGTAGTTTCCAATTGTTACTCCAGTAAATAGGGGGTGGGATCTGATTGTCAAAGCTAGGGGTTCAATTGATAATACAAACAGGAGGGGCGACAGCGGGCACTCCTGACGTGTTCCCCTGGACAGGCTAAAGGGTTTTGAAGTAAAGGTATTAGTCATAACCTCTGCGCTAGGGCTACTGTATAGCAGTTTTATCCATTTAATTATATTTTCTCCAAGGCCAAATCTTGGCAGTAATTCAAACAGATACGGCCATTCCACCCTGTCAAAAGCCTTCTCGGCATCCAGGGATAGAATGGCCGCATCTGGACGCCCCTCTTCAAAATGTAAAATGTTAAGCACCCTTCTCAGATTGTGAAATGCCTGCCTGCCTCTGATAAACCCATTTTATATAAGATCTGGCAGGTATTGTTCTAGCCTTAGGGCTATGATTTTAGCTATGAGTTTAGTATCTGAGTTCAAGAGTGATATGGGTCAGTAGGAGTCACATTTAAATGGCGGTCAACCAGGTTTCAGGATATTCGTAATAAGGGCTCTGGAAAGAGAAGGTGGCAAGGAGTTGGTTCTGAATGCCTCTTCAAACATATTCAAAAGAGGAGGCAGAAGCTTATCTTTAAAGAATTTGTAAAAATCGATGGGGAGCCCATCAGGGCCTGCCGCTCTCCCCCCCTTCATGCACGCGAGGGTCTCCTGTAACTCTGAAAGCTCCACTGGCCTGTCCAGGATTTCTTGGTTTTTCTATCTCATGAATACTTTTTTCATTTTGTAAAGTTTTAATTCTCCAAGGAAGCAGTTAACCCGCCCTCTCCCCCTGGTCGTAGAATGACTGTTTTAGTTTCCTTGTTTGCTGATTGTTCATTATAATGGGCTCTAAGTATGGTCAGTTTATGCTCAAGCAAAGGAGTTTTCTTAATTATGATTTCGCTTTCTAATGAGCTAATTTCTTTTTCAATTTCCAACATTTTGTTTTTGAATTGTTTAGATTTAAAACTGGAATAATGGTCAGAGATTATTATGCTACTGTAATAGCATTTCTTAACATAAGAAAGTGAAGTCCTAGAAATCAAAAAGAAGTCTAGTCGTGAAAATGTTTTATGAGTTGCTGAATAGCAGGAGAATTCTCTCTTATTTAGGTTAAACTCTCTCCAGACATCACACAGGCCCAGCTCATCCATAAAGTGGGGATTACTTTCCTAGATTGATTGTGGGAGGAGTCTTGATTACTATTTCGATCAATATTGCCCTAGCATGGGATGAGTAAATAGCAGCAAATACCTGTCCCTGCCATCTTCTTCTCAACCTGATAACCTCACCTGAAGTTAAATGTGTCTCCTGCAGAAACACAATTTTAGATCACAGGTGTTTAAGCCTAGTCATAACTTGTTTTAATTTCACCAGTCCGCCCAGACCTTGGACATTCCATGATGATATTTCACATAAGTGGTTACTAGCCATGGAGCAATTTAAAGGGCATTCTGTTAGTGGGGAAAATCCTGAGTTTGTGTTTCTGTCACAGGAAAGTCACAGAAAAAGCAAGTAAACAGGGTAGAATAATAAAAAAAAAAATTTAAAAGATACTGAACATTTTGCTAGAACTTGCAAAAACAACAAAACTTTATACTAACATCTACTGACTGGTATATCAATCTGGATTTGACTGTAGAATAGAAAGGCAACTTCCTTGGCTCTTATTGCTCCTACACAGAGGAGCAACTATACGTGAAATTAACTTACCTCTGCTACCATTTATCCCTGACCATCAGTCTCAATTGTTTAATGGCCCTTTTGTATGTGAAAAAAATCTTTTAACGTTAAATAGTATAGTTTGTCAACACACGATTATCAAAAAATAGGAGAACTCTCCTTAAATAATCAGTTCATATTATTTATATAATAGAATCTATTACTCAGCTGTCCTCTCAGATTACTTACATCTCAAATGACAAAAAATTACTATTTTGTACAATCTGGGTGTACTTAACATGTAACAGTCTCTTACACTGGTGAACAAGCAATTAGATACACAGAGAACTAAACTGGTGCGGATTAGTTACCTGAAGTAGTCAGTGACAATAACCTTTCGTCTTTTCATAGTCCACCCTGGCCAACTCCTCGTTACCATCCATAATGTATTATCTTCAGATGGCAATAAACACGAATTCACGGGAGTAAACGAGATATAGTTTCTGAGAACGAGTTGTTCAGGAGTACCTTGAACATAACAATCCAATCTGCCTTCAGTACAACAACGTGGTTTCTTGGTGGGTTTGGCTCAACGCCAGACCCGCCGTGTCTTCATCTTTCCTGGAGTCAGAGTCCTGGTCGGAGCCACTGTTAATCCCCCTCGGTACTGCTGTCAAACTGGTCTCAGAAGCTGGTTCACAGGGATGCTGCTGAGCCAGCATTCCCCACTTCACCCACCCTGGACCTTCAAACGTCCTCCTCTCGGCAGTCCAAAGCTCCTGTGCTAACATAAACACCTACACTCCCCTGGTGCTATGAGCTACCAGTCCCGGCAGTAGAGGAAAAGTCAGAGGGAAGGATGTCGGTACAAAATGTCATGGTAATCCATCCAATAACTGTTTAAGAAATTTCAGGTTTGCCACACAGCTAGCATGGCTCAAAATTAAAGTGCTGGTTGTTTCAACAATCACCACAATCTTACCCTCAAGTAGTTTTACCTGCTTATCGTAACCACAGAGGTTAGGGATCTGGAAACGGTCTTATGAATCATTTCTGGAATGATTATGTGGTTCGTTGGATGACCTTTTTTTAGATATAAAGAACTTTATATTTATATACAGTCTGAACCTTAACATGCTTTGTTAAAGCACTCGCAGTATGCCGTGTAAGTACTTTCCCATATCGAAGGACGCATTCTTGTTAAAGTAAATTCAGTTAAGAATCTGAAACAATTAAGCAAGATTGTTTTTAGGAGCCATGATGTAACGTTATCCACATGGAAAATCTGCCTTCCTGCGTATACCTGACATCATGCCCACATATTTTTATACCACCAAGTGTTAATATGAGAGGGCCTTCTGTGACCAGGGAAAGGTCTGGAAGCCTTTCTGAGGGTCAGATCCAAAGCTCGGGACCGCAGTCCAAGATGAAACGCTAACCGGGGCCAGCCGGTGATTACGTGATATTTATAGATGGCAGAAATGTGAGCTTGCTAAGCAATTTATTTGGAGCAATAGTTAAAAGTGATGTCAAAAGTTTCTCTCTTTTCAACTTGTTTCTGAACTCACAAGAGTCCAGACGTGACCGGTTCTTCGCACCTTTGATTCTGATATTTGGGAAAAATTCAAGATTTTTCTGCTTTAGAAGTCATTGTTCATTCATGTTTTTTTTAAGTAAGCAATGAAGGACCTTTATAGTTTAGAAAAGATCAGAGAGGTAAAGGTCATCAACTGCTGACTGGAACTTTTTGCTTTTTACATTCAGATGATCGCAAAACTTCAGTTTGTCTTCTAAATACAGGTAGTTCTCGCTAAAAATGTGTATTTCATGTATGAAATTTGGCACTTGTGAGTATCTTTAGATGTCTTTGTATTTTTATTATTCCTGCTATTACTTAAAAAAAATACCGTAATCTATCTATATAGGCTGCTTTAGGATATGTAAAATTGGGGGTAACAGTAGACATTGGCAACATTTGGGACTTTATATCCGACTCCTGTGGATCAGATTGCGTTTCTTTTAAGAGTTGCTTACTCTATGAATGTTAAAACTTGATAAGAAAGGCTTTTAGGGGGTTTTAAGAGCTTGATTCCCTTCGTTTGGTGTATATATATATATATATATATATATCAAGTAATTTAAGCTCTATTTTGCCTCTCTTAACAGCCAACCTTTAGCCCCTTCCTGTGTTTAGAGGTGTCAGGCAGCTGTGGAGAAGGAATGTTATTTCCTTCACATCTGTAGGAGGAGGCGAGGCTGGGTTCAAGTCCCAAAGTGTAAATGACGAGTCCTTTGTGTAAAAACCTAATTACGGTAGTCTAATTAGCGAGACGTTCATGTTTCCGAAGTTGACTCAGTTAATGACTACACACATTCTTGAAAGGTCCAACAGAAAGAAGCTAACAGATCATGAAATGACAGGAATGCAAAAGCTGAAAACTTATATTTGTGACTTTTGATTAGAGCTTTTTTAAATAGATTTCTCAATAAATCAGTTCCAAAGTTGACAAGTTTAACCAAACCAGATTTAGATTTCTCTCTTTTCATGAAGTTTATACAGAGAAAACCAGTCATTTTCACTGTGAATTTAATACCTGTTTGAAACAGAGAATTGAGAGACCGAGCCAAATCATCACTTAAACTCCAGGATTTTCAGCAATTTGAAGTATTTCTGAGCTCAAAACAACCCACCCCCTCAAAAACACAGAAATTACTCTACTGTCCCTCTACTTTAATCCCTCCCATCTTCATCTGGTTAATCGTTTGGACCCCGATGGTTTTATCGTCCTTTTTCCTCCCTTTTATAGCGTCCCGGTGGCACTGAGAGGAGTCCTAAAATGATATCAGGCTCCTCCTTGATGATGCCTGATTTACAGAGTGAAGCTGGCAGAGGATGATGATATTTCAGGAACTTGCTGGCCGATTGGTCTGAGGATCCTGCATTTCCATAAACAGGAGCTCCATATCCATATCCAAGCCCTCCTATATAAATACACCCCAGGGATGATTTCTTCCCACTCCTGCTGGCCACTGCCGCCCTCCTCCTCGACTCTCTGTCTCGTCGTAGGTGAGACCAGTTTCCCTTCCTTCTTCCTCCTCTTCCTCTGACTCTCTGCATGCCTGTGGACGGAGCTGGTAAACGGATCCAGAGTGGCTGAGTGGAGTCCGTTTTCTTGGTAAAGCGCTAAGGTGATAAAAGTCTTGACCTCTGGGGTTTGCTAACAAGCGAAGGGAAGTTCAGTTTGAGGTGACGGAAAAAGGCTGAACGCCGCCGGATGAGATCTGAAGGGTTGTTTTCTTGTACATTTATGATCGTTAAGTCTCTTGTTTGTTTTTTTTGCATTTGAACTAAAATTGCTGTTAAAACTGTTGGAATCGCTTGCAAAGGTTTGAAATTTGACTTCCCAGCTCTGGTTTTTGTTTTGAAATCTTTTGGATTTGAGAGATTTTAGTGTTTTTAAGGGAATATGCTGCAGAAATGTTAATGTCGGCAGGTTATTTGGTGTCTAAATTAGTGTGTGTGACAATAACGGGTCGAATTTGTAGTGAAAACAGTTAAAATAATGTATTTATTTAAAAGATTTTGGCTGGTTTGGAAAGTTTAAAGATGTGATTTCTGTCTGTTTGAACATTTCTGGAGGTTTTGTCTGAAAGCATTTAAAGATGCTGTTATGACAAGCGTTTTTTTATACGCTTGTCACAACATGATTTTGAAAGTTTTGACATTTGATCTTGACACTTTCTGAAGCTTTGATCCCGAAATGTTTAATATTCTTTGATCTGAGAATAATAATAATAAAGATTTTGCTGTTTTTAGAGTTTGTAAAAAGTCAAAACAAGTCTCTTTGCTTCCAGCTTGTTTCTGTCTCGTTTCAAGTATCTGACTTGAACTTTGAATTATTTATAGTATAAAAATAAATAAATAACTCCTGAAATCTGATTCTGGGAATGAGCGGCTTGTTAAGACAGATTTGTTTTTGCAGCGTGTGTGAAGGTTTGTGCATCGACAGCCGGCTGTTGGCGGCTAACACGCTGCCGCAGCACATTCTGCCTGTGGCTGTGAAAGGAATTCAAGTGTTAACTCCCAGAGGATATTCGGTTTTGAACACCTGTAAAGGAGCTTATCGCAGGCGTCAGCGGCGACACTTGACCCAAACGCCAAACTTAGCTCTGTCAGCACTCAGCTGCTCGTCGACTGTATTAATGGATCACGTTTCATACGGAAGATGCGCTCTAATATTTAAGCAGAGAGCCAGATGACAACATTTATTTATTCTCGTCTTTCTGTTCTTTACTCAGGTTGTGAAGAAAAGAAACCGCCAACATGTCTGAGTAAGTGTTGCTTCTTTATTATTGATTATTAGTTTTTAGTTGGTGGGAAAAATAAAGTATGTTACTGGAATAAATAATAGTTTAATATAGAAAATAATCTGGGAAAGAGGGGAGGATGAAAGGATGAAAAGATTGAGAAAGGAAAGAAGGATAGAAAAGGACAACAGAAGGAAGGGAGGAGACAAGAAGGATGTAAAGGAAAGAAAGGATGGAAAAGGATGACGGAAGGAATAAAGGGAGAGTTAAAGAAAGAAAGAAAGGAAAGAGAAAAGGGAAAGTGAAAATGTAGAGAGGCGACTGAAAGAAGGAAAGAAGGATGGGAAAGGACGACAGAAAGAATTGAGGAATGAATAATAAGTATAATAATACTGGAGGAAATAAAGAGGGAAAGTATAAAAAAAGAACAGGAAGAAACGAAGGAAGAATTAAAGAAAGAAGGATTTAAAAAGAGGACTGAAGGATACAATGAAGAAAGAAAGGAAAGAAACCTTTTAATTTAACGTTCATGTTGACATTAATCAATAAATTGATCGTTAGATAAACGATTATTTCTCTGATGATGTTGTTTGTGATCTTTGCAGCAAGAAAATGACTTCGAGCCGCAAGCATCATCTGAAGGTACAGTGGAGTCTTATTATCTGAGTTTTATTGATCGACTGATATTGATCGACTGATATTGATACTTGTTAAACTCAGTCTTTAAACATCATTCAATTCTGTGATATCTGATTATTGATAATAGACAACTGATCAGTAAGTTTACGTTACAGCATTAAATTGTGTATGTTATAGATGAAATGAGGTTGAAAGGAGGTTCAGTCTTTTTAATCTTCCTCTCAGACTGTAGTTTGAATTTGACCTCAGATTGAACCGACATGTTGTGAAGTCTGTTCATCTTCATCAGCTGTGCGGAGGCAGTTTAAAGATATGAGGCGCCACCTGCTGGTAGAATCTGTCAAACACACAAAGTATTTCATTGTATTTAAAGATTTTACTATTTAAAAAGCAGAGTGGAAGTGGAAGCACGAAAAGTGCTTCAGACTGAAAGTTGAATGAGTTTCTAAGTCTTGACTTTATTTAAACAAGAGGTTCAGGCAGCACAGTCATTTAATTAAAATCAGAGCCAGTAGAAAACAAGTTAAAAAAAAAGTTAAGATGTTAATTTCCTATAAAATAAAATCCATACTTTAATTTGAACCTCAGATTTTTATTGTTGCTCTGCTTCAGCTGTGAAAAATATCCTCCATCAGTGAAGAGATTGAACGTCTTCTTCTTATTATTATTATCATTGCAGTGATGGGAAGTCCAGTTTCATTGACTCTCAGCTGCTCTGTGATTCTTTCCATTATAGGAAAGTATCATAAATCAGAGCTTTTAAATTGAAAAACAACAAACTAGAAGGTTTTACTGTGATTTTCCGGATATATTTGCTCATAATTGAAATATTTTCCATCATTGTGTTTGTTGTTGTAAGTGATTCAGTGTTTTAACCTCTGCTGGCTCAGGGTCAAACTGATGTTCATGGTGATGTTGTTGAATTAAATGGAGAATATCATTTTATTTCTTTCTCATCAACATAAAATGCAGCCAGTAGTGAGGACCAAAGAATAACTCTGTGACCAAGAAATGCTAAAAAATAAACTCCAAGTTTTTGTATTATTTAATACATAGTGATAACTTAGTATATTTGTTTGTTTTTTATTGTAGTAAAGTCTGGTTTTTGGGAGGTGACAGAGTGAATTTTGAAATTAAAAATGCTAAATGTTCCATATTAAAAACACATTTTGATCATTTCTTTATGTGCAGAATTAAATGTTTGTGCAGATGTAGAGAAAGTTTCCTCACATACGACCTGAAACCTGGCGATCGACTGAATGAAACAGTTTAGTTTTTCTTCTGTTACTGACCGTCGACTCTCGCTCTTTCCGTCCTGCAGAGTTTGATGCTGCAGATCGCGGCGACCTGGATTGAACAGGAGAAAAAGGAACTCGTAGTGGCCAAGCAGGCCTACATGGCTGAGCATTGTCCATCACCCGCTCTGAGTGGAGACCAGGCCACCCTCATGGTGAGAGATGCTACAGCTTCCCTTTAGGGCTGAGCGACAAATCGTGTTTTCATTGGCAAGACTGCCTGAAATGCGATGAATAAGAATAATAATTTTAGGTAGGGATGGGTACAGAAACCGGGTATTCAGCCATTGACTGGAGTATTCTGTTATGGCTGTATAGCTAATATGCACACTTCAATTGATGTTTATCGCGACTTATATTGTCATTGCAATATGAGTTATTGCACATTGTAGATTTTCCTTATATCGTGCAGGACTTAAATTTAACATGGAGCCTGATATTCTTGATTATAAACAGTTTAAAAGCCCAAACTGATTTAAAATTGCTCCATATAACCCGCTCAATTAGAATTAAACCGATTTAAACCAATCTAAGGAAAAAATGTACCATGTAAAAGATTTTAACCTGATTACTTTATGGATTCATGCCTTTGTGAAGAGTTTGTTTTTGATACAAACTCTTAAAGAACTGAACATTATTGGATGCATAGATGGTGGGAAAATAAGAAATAATGACCAATTCAAACAAATCCAAGAATAAAACGAATTAACCCGTGTTGGTAGCTGTTCAGGAAGACGAAATGCGTGATGTATTCAACACTTTTGTTGCCCTGAAATCTTCAATTGGAATGATTTTAATCAGTGTGTATGTAACCGCAACTAGTGTCATAACATTAGATTAAAGAAGAGAAGATATGATGTTTCTTTATTAATCCTCCATATGGGAAATTAGCTCAGTTGCACAGTGGAACGTAGTACAAAGAGTAAAGAAAATAGCATAAAATACAACAAAAAACACTAAAATATAATTAAAAATATATACAGTAAAATAGAAAAGAAGACGTATACTTGACTGGCATTATTCTAAACTTGACCCATTTATTTTAATTTTAATTTAACAACTTGAGCACAACCAATATAGTTGTTTAAAATTGTTTTTATCTGATGTTACGCTGATGACGTTAACTTTTATTCGACAAAAAATTTGCAGACTGTGTTAAACAAAACTATAAGTCCACAGCCATGCACGCGGCTTTATGAGGCTGTTCTTAGAGACAGCAGTGTAAAAATTTCCACAAACGTAGTTTAGTGGGTTAGCTAATTAGCACTAGACAGCTGAGGATGACATTAGTTTTGGTCATAAAATAAAATAATGTTAACCTCAGAATGGCAATAGATGACAATGAAGGGTTTAACAAATCATCCTGACAGGAACGTTACTTCTGGGAACTACAACTGTCTGTCTGTCTGTCTGTCTGTCTTCAGGAAACTTGCAAAAAGTTGGCCGCCCTCATCGACAAAGTGGATGAAGAAAGGTACGACTTGGAGTCCAAAGTGGGCAAGGCTAATAAAGAGGTACACGTCAGAGCTCAAAACATTGGTGAGGGTATCCATTAGCCTGATAATCAGATTGAATTTCCTTTATATTTTACTTCATCAGTTGGTCGGACATTGTGTTGTTCATGTTTGCTGCTTTCAGTTTCTGTGGGGGGTAGTTGTGGTAGCTTTTTAAGTGATTGATCCAAGGTGACTGTTTGTTTCTTTGTTGCAAAAAAGTTTTTGGACTATTAAGATCTTCGGAAAATTGGCCTGTCAGAATAATGCGCAGTCCCCCCACCATAGCAACAGTGTGGCTCATTGACAATCCAGCCAATAGTTGAGAGATATTTCAGTCTGGAGCAAAGTGCTTGACCATCAGACCTAAATTCTGTTTCTCCAACCTGACCAAGTAGTTTTGGTGCCCAAACCGCAGCAAGCTGCGACCGTTTCACAACGTTAATTACGTCTTGATTATTGTTAGCATGATGACAAACGTCCAGAACTCCAGGGAGAGCGTTCACATATTTTCAGTCCGTCCCTCAAATGGGCTTTCGGTCCAATGGGACATTTTTCTGACTATTGGGGTTTTGGAATAATGATTTGTTCCCCTTCATAGCAACAGTGCGCCTTATTGATGTGTTTTTGGATGACAATCGAGCTCTTAGGCACAGAGGAATAAGATATATGAGGCTCATAATACTTAGTAGAATTAATTAATTATTGGTCTTTTCATGAGATTTGAGACTCACCGTTGGCTCAGTTTCACCTTTTTAAACTGCTTGGTCGCTCGTAGATTGAAGACCTGAAGATCAAAGTGGTTGACCTGGCCGGAGTGAAGAAACCCGCTCTGAAGAGAGTGCGTATGTCCGCCGACGCCATGCTGAAGGCTCTGCTGGGCTCCAAACATACCGTCAACATGGACCTGAGGTCCAACCTGAAGCAGGTCAAGAAGGAAGTGAAAGAGGAGGTGAGTTTTTTTTAACGGAGGGCAGTCGGACAGGTACAAAGAGCGGATTAAAAGACGATTAATGACACTTGTTGACTGTAAACTGTTTGTGTCTTGCAGTCTGTGGAGGCGGTCGGCGACTGGCGTAAGAACATTGAGGACAAAGCTGACAGGAAGAAGATGTTCGAGACTTCTTAAAGAACTTAACTCCTGTAGTTGCTTTGGGCCGTTTTTATGGAATTTATGGAATTTTTCATTGAATTGTTTCATTAAATCTGTCAGTTTCAGCTTGGTCTGTTATTGTACATTTGTATAGCGAGTGGTTTGGATTAGAAATGGCCCCTCCTTAATTTCAAGCTTATATCAGACTTTTATTTTGTAGTGTTTATAGACTTCCTGTTTGCTTCTGTGCTTATATTCATTTTTGACAACTTCCTGCTCGTAGTGTTTTTGTAATAAATGTGTTTTGTTTCCTAAATCCACTGTCATGAGGTATTCTGTCTTTGACTCGATGGCGCACAACACTGCAGACGAAGCGCATGACACACCTTGGATCAAATTTAAATGACCTTGAGGAACCAAAAGTTCAGTTCCAGATGGACGATGAGCTTGTTTTTATGCTTGTTTTTGTCAAACGTTAAAGAAAAACTTGCCTTAAAACAGAACTAAAGCTCTTTATAAAGTTATAAAAAGTTCTGTTTGAAGGCGGTTTCAAGCTTTAACGAGGTTGTGTTGTACTCTTTGTAGTGCTGTGTTTGTCAGTGAAAGACACAATATCCATGTTTCCATAGTTATACTTTATATTTTTATTACATATTTCAGAGTTCAGGGAGCTGTGAAAAGTGAATGTTGCTTAATAGATTCTGGAAAATACTTTTATTTTTTTTT